AAACTAAACAGCCTACAGTATTTTTACAGTCTTTATTTTACAGTTAAAAATATGTTTATCAAATAAAGTCTAATATTACAACTAATCGGGGATCCCTTTAAGAAAAAAATACATAAATAAATCACAAAGTCACGCAAGCAAGTCTTTGTAGGGCGAAATGAAAGAACGCCACCTACTTTTATGGATGTCCAACATGAAGCTATTGAAGTGGACTCTCTTTTTATAGCTATTTTCTACATGGGAGTAAAATAAATCCATGAGCATGGTCTTCCCTGTGCCTGAAAGTTAAAAAAAATTGAGAAAAATCAACCTTAAAACTGTTTTCGACATTTATCATTATAGAAATATTAACGAGTTAAAAGCATCATTTTCAGATGCAGCCTTACCAACATCTCCATATATGTAGAGACCTTTAGGTGCTGGTGGAATCGATTCCTCCTTTTGGGTGAAAAAGGAAAAACTGATGTGTATTATATCACAACTGTTGCTTTTATAACTCAGAGTTAACAGCAAATCAGCCTAAAGTTGTTAATAAAAGACACAAAACACCTATTGACCTGAATATTTATATTCATTACCATATTTAACGGGCTCATCTTTTAATAAATAAAGTATGCTGAGGCATTAAGCCACCACTACAGTGTGAGGTTTCATCTTCTCCAGACTAGCCCACTGCAGGGGAGGAAGACAAAGGGGATCTAATCAACAAGACAAGCCAGGGTTCCCACGAAAGAAAAGCATCATCAGAGGAACAATGGGGGGATTTATCAGACAAAACGAAGAGGACTGGATGAGGCTCCATACGAGATGGAGTGGACTTGTCTGTGCAGCCTGTTTAGCGCTGCTAATTGTGATACGGTACTGTTGCATTGAGGTGCCGCTGGAAGTCATTGTGCTGCCTGCCTCCTATTATCAAAAGGTCCTTGCTTCAAAAAAAAAGCATCTTCTGTGAGACCAAGCTGAGAATACAGAGTAAAGCCAAATATCTGTAAAGAGGACCCAAGCGTGTAAACGAATCTGCCATCAGTTAAGTGTATTTATCAGCAGTTGGCTAAATGATATGCATGCTTTGAACATTGAGGTTGAGGATTCTCTGTCTCTGTGACCGGCCAACAGCAAATGGCTCTGGAATTAAATCGCTTGTTTGCCAAAAAAAAATAAAAATAAAAAAAGGGATTGTCCTCTTCATATTTAATTTACAAACCATTTCAGGAGGATAGTACTCGGGGTCCACGTTCACTTGGGTCTCCACTGCACAAGGAGCACTTGACTCTGATAAAACGTCAGCAACGGCAGATTGAAAAGGAAATTAAAAACCCAAACTTGTCCGTCCCTCTCCCTGTGCGTCCCTTCCTCTTTCACCTGCTCCCCACCAAGCCCCACCCACCGCCCCTGAACTCCCAGCACTGCGCTCCTCTTGAGCTGAAAACAGGAAGAGCAACAAGTCGTTCCCGTCTGTTCTGGCATAACAGAGTGTGACTTCTCCCTGACTTCCCAGGCTGCCATCTGGCATAGAGGGGTAATTGTCAGTGGCTGGTAGCCATTCTGCCACGGCAGAGTGGAGAAGCACAAGGCTGTCCCTCTGCTACTTTGTCTAACTGAGCTCTATGGCCTAGTCTCACCTCCCGGTGAAGGATACAGACTGGCACATGAGTGAAAAGTTCACATGCAGGACATGGCCCCATTGGCTTTTAAATTACTGGGGAAAGATCCTTTATCTAGCGCCAAAGATGCCCCCAAACTAGCATCATTATTGGGGAGACTGTGGGAGTCTTAATTGGGTTTAAGTCAAAACAACTGTCCTGCTTTGAGGCCCGCAGTCTACGGGGGGACTTTATGATGCACGTCTGACTCGAACAGGGTGGCTCTCTCACTCGACAATAGCCCATTGTCAGGCAACCATCCGCAAAACCACGCCACATTGGGTCAATATTAAGTCAAGTGTGTTCTCCTCACAGACTTGGTCAGTTAGTGAGGACAATGGTGGCACTCTCACAGAGAACAGACACCGAAGGACGATGGTATGACCTGATTTAAACTGGAATAATTGCATAAGCGTTCGCTCGGTGTGTATGTATTTGTTGGAGTGTTTGTGTGGGAGAGAGAGACAGAAATAAGGTGCAAAGGCAGAGGGGGTGGGCGGGATGGTTTGTGGTGGTGTTGACAGTATAACACCAAATCATTCGTCAGACCCCGCCTAAATCAAAAGCAAAAGACAAGAACGTCCGGGACAATAGGGATCCCCTCATTACCGGATGGGGACGGTGCGAGAGCGAGAGGGGTGCTGGGATGGGCCCAGCGGGAGGTCTGCCCTGCTGCCTTCCAAAATCTCTGCCTAACCCTGAGTGTCTGTGCCAGCCAACTAAAAAAAAAAAAAAAAAAAAAAAAACAGAACTCCCAGCACCAAATATGAGACAGTCAGCTCCTCTGACCTAAAAACAACAGCCCCCTGCATTATTAGAACAAACATGCACAATAAACTTCCCAGACCCCAATACCCTCCCTTTGACCTGAAGCCTGTGGCCACCATCGCTGACGCTACAGGAATACAGTGAAGTCGACTCTGTAGTCCCCCCTCACACACACACACACACACACACACACACACACAC